GAGAGAGAGAGAGAGAGAGAGCGTGAGCGGGGGAGGGTCAGAGAGAGAGGCAGTCACAGACTCTGAAATAGGCTCCAGGCTCTGAGCTGGCAGTCAGCACAGAGCCCGACGTGGGGCTCGAACCCACGAACTGCGAGATCATGACCTAAGCTAAAGTCGAACGCTTAACCAACTAAGCCACCCAGGCACCCCTATTTCTGCACTTGTACTCAGCTCATTCTACTTCTTCTAACTCCTGCATAGGCTTCAAAAGCTATTTCAAGGGGAATTTTGCCTGAGAAGACGAGCTACGGCAAGTATTTCCTCTTCCTAGAATGTATATCTCCAGTTCACCAGTGCAACCCCAGCTCACAGGTGTGACAAGAATGATCACTGCCACTATGTTCCTACCAAGTGCTTCAGACTTTGGCCAAGCATTTGATATGTATTTATATCCGTAAGACAACTTCAAATAAAGATACTGTTATCTCCATTCTCCCTATCACAAATCTGAAGCTCAGAGAAGTTAAGGGAATTCAAAGCTTTCAGCCTGCAAAGTGAGAGAGCCAGGATTCGAGTCCCTATCCATCCAGCTGACTACAAAGTTCGGGCTCTTTCTGAATGGGTCCCAGTGCCAGACACAGCAGAGCCCATGCCTCACACAAACCTCCAACTCACCCAAAGTGCCTTGTACAATAAACACCCACTGATAGACTGATCTCACAATAACAGGCTCTCTGGGGTTCAGAGGTCATGCAGCGAATGAGGTTCCCACCGTACAAATTTCTCTTTTATTACCCCCACACATAAACACATCATTCTCCTTGCCCTTCCCGATTGCATATATATTTCTTTAACAGCCTTATGACGGTATAATTGACATACAATAAACCACACATATTTAAACTGTGTACTTCGGTAAGTCTGACATAGACACGTGATCATGAAATCATCTCCAAAATCAAGTTAATGATAGATCTGTCACCCCAAAAAGTTTCTTCACGGTCCCCTCCTTAACCACCACCCCACCCCCACCTACCCCCAACTCTACCAGCCAACCATCAACCTGCTTTTTGTCAGTGTAAATTAATTTGCAGTTCCCAGAATTTTACATAAAATGGCAAATACTCTTTTTTTTTTTCCTCTAGCTTCTTTCATTCAGTGTAATATTTTGAGACTCACCCATGTTAGGGTGTTTCAATAGTTCATTCCCTCCCACTGCTAGATATTATGTCATTGTACGGATATGCACAGTCTATCCATCCAAATGTTGAGGGACAGTTGTGTTGTGTCCAGTGGAGGGATATTACAAGTTGCTATGAGCATTCATGTATAAGTCACGGCTCTCTTTTAAATTCAGCCTCATCCAAAGAAAAATTTTGCCAGATCATCAAACTGTGTTAAATTGGAACCTTTTTTCCAGCATCGAGCACACCCTCTTAGTAAGCACATGTTGCAGGAATGGCTACGAGCATGTTCTTCCAGGACAGATGGCTTGTCTTGTCATTTGGATTCATCCCTTAGTAATAATTTAACCTTGTTTCACTTTCCTTATGTATAAAATCGAGATAACAGAACCTCCTTCACAGGGCTGTTGTAAAGATGAAACGATGGTGATAATCCATACATAATCATAACCCTGCGCCCAATGTATGGTAAGTGTTGGTAACCATGGGATATGATTACTATTAGTATGAACATCTATTGCAAAAAATGACTAAGCTTCATTACGCCTTCAAACAGAAAAATTCCTATTATTTCTGCCAAATTCCTCTATACTGATTTTATCATAAGATAATCACTACCACTTCAAAATCGGAGAATAAACAAAAGATGATCTAACACTGTACTTCTTAAATGTTTTTTAAACCCTGCCTCCTTTGCGGAAATAAAAAAAAAAAAGCTTTTAATAAAAATCTCAGAAGAACTGACACATTTTGCCTAAAAACACATCAAATATAAGCTTTTCCTCCAGATCGAATAGGACAGAGCTTGTGAGGACATGTTGCAGCCTTCTAACTAGCAGCTCACTGTGAGTCACCTGATTATTCATTCATCAGAGAGAAGGAAATGAATGGATTCAGTGAAGCCCAACTAGTTTCCAGGAAGACTGTGATAAATAATTCTTGCACACCGGCTTACCTACCCCGCCCCTCCCCCCCCAACCCCAATCAACCTGGCCCCTAACACCCACCCCTTGTACCTACTACCTTCACATGTGCTGGCAAGTCTGACAAGGGAGTGTTCGGAAGGGAAGTAATTGGCCCTGGGTGGAGAAGAAATATGCTCTGTAATTTGAGCCTGGGTGACCATCTGCGAGGAAGCCCAGGGAGGGATTCTGCACGGGGCAGTCTGGCCTGGACAAACAGTAAGCTTCCCACAAAGAGATGATGGGCACGCTAACTAGACACTGATGTGATCGGAAGAACAGCGGGACAGGGCAGAGTGTCAGGGCCTTCTCCCAGAGAAAAAGACTGGAGGGGAACCTTCCGTGACTTTCTGACCCTGGCTGGCAAGAAAGTGACCAGTGGGCTTGACAGGTGTAGCTGAAGAACTCAGGCGGCAACTAGGTCAGCCTGGAGAATGGCTTTTTGAAGTACGAGGCAGCTATGTCTTGTTACCCAACAGCCCTGTGGGTATGACTTAGTTTCCCAAAACTAAGGATGCAGAGCAGAGACACCCTCAAGGACGCTCTCCTTTCTGATGACCATAGTCAGAGGGCTGCCGGACAGCTTGACACCGACCAGGCAGAAAGGCTAGTCTCTCCTCTCACAGCCTCTGCTCCTCAAATCCCTGCGTTCTCTAAACAGCCTTCCCCGGCTCCCGCGATTAGGTCCCCAATTTATGCTCAGACATTTACCATCTATACTTACCTGTATAGTCAATTGATTATTGCCTGCTCCCCAACTACACTGTCAGGTCTAACAGGGCTGTCTTTTTGCTCACCATTTATATCGTTAGCACTCAGCCCAATGCCTGAGGCACATTCTAGGTGCTCAATAAACAGGTGCGGAATTAATGCATGTAATGGGTTGAATTCACAAATGTTCAGTTTCCATTCTTTTGTTCTGCACCTGGGCAGAGGCATGACCAGTAGGCAATCTTCCTATTGAGCACCTAGGATGGCCACGCACCCAGGGCCGTGACCGGCACATGGAAGAGTTTAATAAATGTCTGCTCTGTTAAAAAATCTAAAATGATCTGCACCTGAACAAAAGTCTATCTCTACCCAGAATGTTTAGA